ACAGCACTGACCTCTGCTGAGCAGCATGTGGCCCGGTTTGCTTAGTCCGTCCTGTTTTCTCTAGATGCAGCTAGCTTTTCTGATTTACTTCCTTCTTGACCATGCCATTGTCTTTTTTTTTTTAATTCTTTATTGTTGAAAGTATTACATATGTCTCCTTTTTCCCCCTCATTGCCTTTCCTGACCATCCTATGTGAGTTCTCTCCACACTAGCTTGCCTGCTTTTATATCTGTTCTTTTGTACCCCGTGGGCATGGACTTCTTAGAAACCTATGATCACTGAGATTCAAGGTGAGCCATCCAGTACTTTTGTGACCCACACACTTATTTGTCCTTCCACTCTTTCTGTTCTGTCTCTATATTTCAGTCTTTTTCTCTTGACCTTAAATCTTCATCTCTAAAGACCTTTGACCTCTTTTCCCAACCCTGCACTTCCTTCTAGACCAGTGGTTCCCAACCTTCCTAATGCCGCGACCCTTTAATACAGTTCCTCATGTTGTGGTGACCCCCAATTTCATTGTTACAAATTGAACATAATTAAAGCGTAGTGATTAATCACAAAAACAGTATGTAATTATATGTGTTTTCCGGTGGTCTTAGGCAACCCCTGTGAAAGGGTCGTTCGAGCCCCAGAGGGGTCGCGACCCACAGGTTGAGAACCACTGTTCTAGACATTTCCATGAGGTCATTCCAGACTCACAAGCCCCAAACTTGAGTCATCTTCCTCATTTCCAGTGTATCTCCTCTCACTGATTTCCCAGTTTCTCTGAGGATCCAATCTCCCTGTCACTGAGGATCCACCACAGCTTAGGTCTCACTATCTCTTTTTGTTCCCATGTTTTTGTGGCTCTCTCTCTCATCCCCACCCTTTCTTGGTTTCTAATCTGCCTACCCCCTGGTCTTTCTTCCTCCAGACTCTCCTCTGTTGGCTTCATTATCCTCAGGGTGTCAGGATAGCCTTCACTCTGGGCCCCTCTTACTTCTCTGGTATATCCTGAGCACCCACCCTTTCCTCTAGCCAGGCCTGTCTCTTCCCTCCGGCCTCCATACATACGGGCTTGTTCCTGTCTGAGTCTTTGCACTGCCTCCCAGCCTGGCCTGTCCCAGCCCTACGCCCCTTCCTTTTCTCTATATTCTGTCCGTCCTGCAGGATCATTGGGTTGCCTCTTCTGATCGCGCAGCTATAGAGCTGGCCTCTCCTGGGCAGAACCACTTTCCTGGAAGCGTACTCAGGAAACGAGGAAACAGGAAGGAAAAAATTGCATTTAATTGTATATTCTTTTGTTCTTGAATTTTATACTGTGTGTATTATTCAGTGAAATAATTTTAGCACATATTTAGCAAATATGTTTAAAAATCACAAGTAATTACTCTGTGTCACACCTTAGTTTTCCATGAGCATGTATATTGGTCTCCCCATAGCACCTAAGTCAGTGCAGTGGGTACCTGCTAGGAGCTTCGTGAAGGGCTGGATAGAAGAGATGAGGGAAGAGGGCATGAACAGATTAGCGGCAACCTTGGACCTGACCTAACTTCTTCTTACTGAGTAATTACAAACTAAAAGGAAAAAGATCACTCTTGCCTTTTTTTAAGATTAAGAATAGAGGCTGTATACCTGGCTACATCTGGTTATAGAGTTTTAATCTAATGATTAAGTATTCTTCCTGACTAGGATTTATATATAGAAAATTCTAAAGAGTCATGAAAACATATTAGAGCTAAATTCAATAAAGATGCAGGATACAAAATTAACACACAGAAATCAGTAATGTTTTCTACATATTAACAGTGAATATTCTGGGGGGAAAAAGAGATTGGTCACATTTATAATAGTATCAAAAAATAAAATATTACCCGGCCGGCATGGCTCAGTGATTGAGCATCGACCTATGAACCAGGAGGTCACAGTTCGATTCCCAGTCAGAACACATGCCCAGGTTGCAGCTTAATCCCCAGTGTGGGGCCTGCAGGAGGCAGCCAATCAGTGATTCTCTCTCCTCATTGATATTTCTATCTCTTTCTCCCTCTCCCTTCCTCCCTGAAATCGTTAAAAATATTTTTAAAATAAAAATTAATAAAAAACAAATAACAAAAAAATCATAACATATTTAGGAATAAATTTATTTTCACCAATGACGTGAAAGATCTCTACTCTGAAAATTACAAGACATTGATGAAGAAACCAAAGAAGACACAAATAAATGAAAAGCTGTCTTATGTTCATGGGTTGGGAGAATTAAATTTGTTAAAATACCAATACTTCCAAAAGCCATCTGTAGATTCAGTGCAATCCCTATCAGAATTCCAATGGTATATTTTTTTACAGAAATAATTTTTTTTTAAAAAATCCTAAAATTTGTGAAGAACCACAAAAGACTCTCAATAGTCCAAGCAATCCTGAGAAAGAAGAGTAAGGTAGGAGAATTACACTGTCTGATTTCAAGCTCTACCACAAAGTTACAGTAATCAAACAGTGGGGTACTGGCATAAAAATAGACAAGTAGACCAGTGGAACGGAATTGAGAGCCCAGAAATAAACCCAGCATGGTCAACCAATATTTGACAAGGGGCCCAAGAATGCTCAATGGAGAAAAGACAGTCTCTTCAATAAATGGTGCTGGGGAAATTGGATATTCACAGGTAAAAGAATGAAACTTAACTCCTCTCTTAACACTACTTAAAAAAATTAACTGAAGTGGATTAAAGAATCAAATGTAAGGCCTTAAAGCATGAAACTCCTAGAAGAAAACATAGGGGAAAAGGTCCTTGACGTGGGTCTCGGTAATGATTTTTTGGGAATCACACCTAAAACACAAGCAACACAGTAAAAAAAACACATTAAGTGGGACTACATCAATCTGAAAAGCTGTACAGCAAAAGAGACCATTAAGAAAATAAAATTAAAAAAAACCCAGCATATGAAATGGGGAAAACTGTTTGCAAACCATATATCTGATAAGTAGGTAATATTCAAAGTAAATAAAGAACTCATACTACTCAATAGCAAAAATAAAATAAAATAAATCATCTAATAAATGGGCAAAAGACCTGCACAGACAGTTTTCTAAAGAAGATGTATGGCCGAAACCAGTTTGGCTCAGTGGATAGAGCGTCGGCCTGCGGACTGAAAGGTCCCAGGTTCGATTCCGGTCAAGGGCATGTACCTGGGTTGTGGGCACATCCCCAATAGGAGAAGTGCAGGAGGCAGCTGATTGATGTTTCTCTCTCATCGATGTTTCTAACTCTCTATGTCTCTCCCTTCCTCTCTGTAAAATATCAATAAAATATATATTTAAAAAATGAATAAATAAAATAATAAAAAAGATGTACGAATGGTTAACAGGTATATGAAAAGATGCTCAACATCGCTAGTCAATAGGGAATTACAACAAATGCTGACAAATATGTGATGAAGAGGAAACCCTTGTGCACTGTTGGTGGGAATGTAAATTGGCTCAGCCATTATGAAAAACAGTATGAAGATTCCTCAAAAAATTAAAAATAGAACTACCATATGATCCAGCAATATCACTTCTAGGTATATATCCAAAGAAAATGAAAATGCTTAACTTGAGAAGATGTCTGCACTTCCATGCTCATAGCTGCATCATTCACAGTGGCCCACGGCATGGACACAAACTCTGTGTTCATTGATGGAAGAATGGATAGAGAAGTTGTGATGATAAACAATAGCATAATATTTAGCCATAAAAACACACACCTAGGAAATCCTACCATTTGTGACAACCAGGATGGACCTTGAAGGCATTAGGCTAAGTGAAATAAGTCAGAGAAATACAAATACCTGGATATCACTCATATGTAGAATTTAAACAAAACAGATCAAACTCATAGAAAAGGAGATCAGATATGTGGTTACCATAAGCAGGGACTGGAGAAAGGTGGTCAAAAGGTCCAGACTTCTTGCCCTAACGGGTTTGGCTCAGTGGATAGAGCATCGGCCTGTGGACTCAAGGGTCCTATGTTCGATTCCGGTCAAGGGCATGTACCTTGGTTGCAGTCACATCCCCAGTGGGGAGTGTGCAGGAGGCAACTGATCGGTGTTTCTCTCTCATTGATGTTTCTGATTCTCCCTCTCCCTTCCTCTCTGTAAAAAAATCAATAAAATATATTTTTAAAAAAGTCCAGACTTCCAGTGACGTAACGTACAACATGGACAGGAGAGCTAACACTGCTGTATGCGGGAAAGCTGTTGAGAGAGTTCTCATCACAAGGAGACATTTTTTGTTTGTTTTCCTTTTATTGTATCTATGAGATGATGGATGTTAGCCAAACCTGTTGTGGTGATCATTTCACAGAGTATATAAATCAAACCAATGTGCTGTGCACCTTAAATCTTATGCAGTGATGTACGTCACGACTCCTCACCTGCAAGAATAAATGGCTAAATAGATGATAGGGGATGTTTCTGCAACATTTTGGGAACAGATACCTGGGTAACTTTGCCCAGCATCACAAGCTCAGGAGCATGTGCGTCCTGCCTGCCGTGGGCAGACGTTCTCTGTCGGGGAGTGAATCCCGTCTTCAGCTGAGATTTCCTCTCGGAGCCCTTGGGGTTTAATCTCTGCCTCCTATACCTCCCCCCCACCCC